ACGAGGTGACTACTCAGGACCAGGAAGAAGGCCCCAGGCTGAGCATACACCCCACATAGCAAGCAGGTCCCCCAACTTTCCAGTGGGAAAGACAGACACATATGTAAGTCCTCTCAATACCCTGTGATTAACAGCTACCGTGAAGGCAAGAACAAAATGCCGCACGAAAGCGTCTTGAGTGGAAGTGCCTGTCTGGGTGAATTCCAGCATGGCCCCAGAGATGAAATTGGGTCTAGGTCTCGGGAAACTAACAGAGACTTCCCCATCAGAGGCAAGAGCATGAGCAAAGGCACAGGAAATGCTTGGGGAATGGATTGCTCAGTGAGCCTGAGTAGACGGGGAGGTGACGGGCTTAGAGAAGGAAGGCGGGGCGATCTGGCCTGGGCAGGAGTTTACCATATGCCAGCACAGGGAACAAGGAACCAATGGGGATTCTCATCTCTGGGGACAACATGATTAGAGGGGTGTTGGAAAGCTGAGTGGAAGGCAAAGGACCACCACATACCCCAGTAGCTGGTATTTACAAACACTTCTCTCTGTTGTCCTGATTTGACAAGACAGCACAGGACCTTATAAGACTCTTCTTCAACACGTAAAAATTTTAAGAAAGCTTTTTTTTTCATAGTGACATAAGTATGATGGCGCGTTAAAACGGAAATGCTAAACATGGCTAATTATTCACAGCATTATTCAGAAAAGGGGGCCTAAACACTCAAAAGAGTGTTTAGGGGCATCTCCTGCTGAAGCAAACTATTTCCAACTGTGTGGGAACCGATGTCAAGATTCTACGGCTCCCTGGGAAGGTCTAAGCCATTCCTAGGACTTGGTAGGAAATGATGAGAGAGCCAGAGAGTTAGACCTTTATCTTTGACCAAACTGAGTCAGCATGTTCAAATCCTAATGCCTCTCTTCCCCACATCCATCTCGCTTCTTGTTTGCAATACCATCGGCTCTGGTTATTTTTGAGAAAGGCCTGGCCTCTCTTGACTCCTCTCTACAAAACCCAACCTCCCAGTCAATACTCTTAAACCCTGGAGCCCTCTCTTTTCCTCTCGTTGCCATAGAGGGGCTTATATCCCCTTTTGATCCTCCACCCTCACTCTTCTTGGCACCCACCGTACTTTCAAAATTTCTTGCCACTTTGCTCTCCCCCTCCAGAGAGTCCAAAAACATGGCCAAGAGGTTCATCTCCCTTTCAAATCACTATTTACTTCTTGCTGCTTCTAGAACTTGCACAGAGAAGGAAAGGCAAGGTTAAAGAGCAGAGGGTCACGGCAGATGTGAAACATACGTGGTGGCTGCGTCCTCTGAGCCTCCATGTGCCCACACGGCTCTGCCCTCTTGGCTCCCAAGACCGTTTTCCGTGTTCTCGCCTCTCCTCCGACATCCTCTTGCACTGGCTCCCTCTTTCCTTTGAACGCTCCCACTCACTGCCTGGTTCTTCCTGTTTGAGACCCCTAAAAACCACAATGGCATCAACCCACAACGAAGGCCCCTCCTCGAGCCCTTAAAAGTGCTTTCAAGGCCAAATGCTTCTACCAATGCATTTCCACAAGGGCTGCACCCCTGCAATTCCCCAATTCTTGCCTGACTCGGCTATTTGATTTCCTTCCTGCTGCTCAGGCTTCAGGACAGAGATGACAGGCCTTGAGACTCTGTCTCATTTCTGTTCCCTTCCTTGCTCCTGTCAGGCCACTGACAGCACCTCAATATGGCTTTTTAACTGGTGATCAAGTAAACAATGGCAAAGGAGCCTGCAGCTTTGAGGAGTCCAAAGAAAATGGAAACACAAGAACGTCAAACCTGCCTTGCTCAGTGAGACAATTCAGCTCACGCTTAATGTATGTGGATAAACATTCACCTCACATTGGGCAAAGAAACCCAAATATGGAAACTCTGATTGCTACCACATCTGTAAAAGACAGAGGCCCTGTTGTCCTGGTTTCCTCAGAGAGATTTTGAAGGCAAGAGAGATGTTCTAGAAACTCTGAATCAAACCACGAAAAGCAACATTTATCATCCTGCTCCTCTGTCCTTCCCTATTCTACAAATGCCAAACTGGATAATATGCATTATTCAATGACTTAAAGCCTCTCAACGTTCCATTTGGCTTCCCTACACCCACTTAGGGAACACCGTCACTGTCAGAGGTCAAAGCTCATTAGTGCTGGAACCTAAATTCAATGCCCTTGAGAGACAAAATGTAGCTCCAGACAAGGCCTTCCTGGCTCTGATTAATTCGTTATGACTTCTGGGTTCTCAGCAGGACAGGTCTCACAAAGTTAGGGTCCTATTTGCTATGAAAAGAAACCTGGCTGAGAAAGGGGCCCAAGAAAATGAATGAGTGAACCTTGGTCCATATGCAGAAGAATTCCCAACACTCATAGAAGATTTTCAGACAACCTGGGGTATCTGAGAATGACCGAGCCATTTTAACTGTAGAATGAATGCAAGGACTGAAAACACAATCGAAGAGCACAGTAAATGGGTTCTGGAGGTGACCTCAATCTTCCCTCAGAACCGTGACCTGTTAGGACTAAAGATTATTTACTCCCGTGGTCTCATTATACCAAGAAAAGAGAGCACCAGAAAGGGGAAATGAGTCTGTTGCAATCCTATAGTCCATAGCAGTTCTTTTTTTTTTTTTTAAAGATTTTATTTATTTATTTGAGAGAGAAAATGAGATAGAGAGAGAGCATGAGAGGGGAGAGGGTCAGAGGGAGAAGCCGACTCCCTGCCGAGCAGGGAGCCCGATGTGGGACTCGATCCCAGGACTCCAGGATCATGACCTGAGCCGAAGGCAGTCGCCCAACCGACTGAGCCACCCAGGCGCCCTAGTCCATAGCAGTTCTGAAACGAAAACCCAAACGAGCCTTCCTCCTAGCCTGCGTCCTCACTCCCACTGTCCACAGGAAGGCTCATATCCCTCCAAGCATCAGCACAAAGACTAAGGAGTAAGGCTTCCAGGAGGCAGGCAGCAGGCAAGAGGCACTGCCCCTCCAAGCACTAGGAAGGCCAGGTTCTATCTGGCCTTGAGACTCTATGCCGTGGGCCACATCCCACCCCAGCTCCTAAAGACCTGCCCCTGTGAGAGCTCAGATGGGTCTGTGCATCTTTCCTCCAGGACTTGAGACACTGCCCCAGCTGGGCCAAGGGGACGGGGAGGGAGCATTAGCAGGGCTCCGGAGTGCAAATCATCAGCATTATTTGGATAATACATGAATGCCTCTGATACTAAACTTATACCCTTATATCTTATCCCAAAACACATACACACACACACTTCTCCTCTGAACCAAAAACAGAATAATGTAGAGAAATGCTTCTCAAGCTTCATGTGTGTATGAAGCACCCAGCCCAGGGATCTTCTTAAAACATAAGTTCTGATTCAGTAGGTCTGGGATGGAGCCTGAAATTCCACACTTTTAACCAACTCCCAGGTGATGTCCATGCCACTGGTCAAAAGACCACACTCTGGGTAACAAGGGGTGGATGTTACAAAAGCTCAGAATCAAACAAATCTGGGTTTAATTCTGGTTTCGTTAATCATGAGCTTTGTGATCTTGGGCTGGTTTCTTAACTTCACACTGCCTCAATTGCTTCATTCCTAAAATCGAAATAATAATACCCAAGATGCACATGAAGATTGTTATCTAAGTTAATGATAAAAAGTTGTTAACACGGGGCGCCTGGGTGGCTCAGTCAGTTAAGCATCTGACTCTTGATTTCCACTCAGATCATGATCTCAGGGTCGTGAGACTGAGCCCTGCACTGGGCTCCAGGCTCAGTGCAGGGTCTGCTTGTCTCTCTCCCTCTGATCTCTCTCTCAAATAAATAAATAAATAAAATCTTAAAAAAAAGTTCTTAACACAGTGCCTGGAATAAAATAGGGGCTTAATAAATGCCAGTTGCTGGCTGTCTCTAAAATTCATGAGGGCAGGGGCGACATCTGTCTGACTCACTGCCAAAATCCCAATGGCTAGAACGTATTAGGTACTCATTGGATGTTTGTGAGTGAATGAACGTATGTATAATACACTGACACATAATACCAGTATTTACATACACCCTTGGTTCTATGGCTTTCTGCAGGAAAACAGAAAGTGTTTAAAACACCAGAACACTCTCACCCGTAACAAACCATCACCTCATAAAATTCAACATTCACCCCCATGTACAACCACCAACAAAACGTATCGTTCGTGATGGCTGTATATACTTGAGAAAATGCCTTAAGTGTAAACAAATAAAGACAACATCAGTCTGGAATCTGTATGTCATTAAGAGAAACTACTGCCTTGCTCATTATTTATGGGGCTGTCTGAATGCCAGTGTTATGAAAAACTTAATTCTGAAACTAAGTTCACTTCCAAAACAAACGGAGAATCGCAAAGACGACAAAACAAACCATGGGAAGCGAGACCACTTTTTCAAGGGCCACTGGGGCAGTAAGACATTCTTTGATACATGCACACACTTGCTCAGGACAAATTAAAAATAGAATTGTTAACAAATGGTAGAGTTGAAGGTTTTAAATCAAAGGCAGACAAGTGAGTCCATCCGAAACTCTTCAACAATCTAAGATTATCTTCAGAAGTCTCATAAAGTAAGAGGCATCACTGACAGGGATCCCATTTGCCGGGAGGCACTGTGAATGGTAGGTAGCAAGAAGGGAGTATGATTGCCACCTACAGACAGAAGTCCCTATGCAAGAGCTAGCCAATCATATTTCAATGTGGAAAAAAAAAATTCAACCAAGTCACCTCCCTCCAACCTCTTTCAAATCACTGCACCACATTACTTCATTTAGAATTACTTTCAAGTCATACAATCATCTCTAGGCATTCTGCCTCTTCATTATCATCATCCTATTTCTAATTTCCCAGAAACCCTGCACCATTCAACTATCTACTTAGGCGCTCTCTGAGAGCCAAAGAGAATGCAAGCCGATGGATTTCAAGCAGGCAAAGGCATCCGAGTGGAAGCATGAATCTGCTTACCTGGTATGAATGGGACCACCCGGAATATATCAGACAATCTGCTGTTAACTGGCTCGTAAGGGGAATCTTCAAGCAGATCATTTCCTAAAAACAACAGAACGATGGGGCTTAGATCTGGAAAGCAGACATATTTCAGGGAGTTTTTGTTACTGAATCTAAATTCTAACGATGTTATGATTGTGTAACAAAAAGATGCTGAAACTTTCAAAAGTCTCAAATGCATCTATTTGGCTATGGTTAGGTTGCATTCCCTCTGCCTTTGTTGTCCTTCCTCTCCCCAGAGTGCCATGAAAACACTGGAGAGCAACCCAGCCTGATCTTGCCAGAAAACTCTCCCACTCTTTGCAAAGGAATGAAATAAGAGAGGAAGGAACCAGTGATGTCACCAGCCCAGCTTACCTCCGGGAGCCAATGGAAGAAAAGTGACCCAAAGGAGGCCCCCATTTCTTTGCCCCTCAATGTAGCATGTGGCCAGAAAGCCGGGAGGCTGGTTATGAAACAGCCTCTGAAATAGGTTTTCACTGTAATAGGTTCTGAAGTAGGAGGCAGCTGAGAGGTCAAATCTGTACGTTACAAATGTTTGGTGTCTCCGTGGAGAATGAATGCACTGGATGGCTGTGTGAGATTTACAGACACCAGCCACCTCTGGCACACAAGGACCGAAAAATTCCCACTGGAATGGATGGTTGTGACAAGTGGCCCTTTTTCTCTCAAAGCCACTCCTGTGTTAACCAAGGCTGAACCACACCAGCTGGTTCAAGACTCAGCTAATCTAAGATGACAAATGGCTTTTCCGCCTTTGATCAGGTTTGATGAGGGTAAAGATAGAGTCTACCGGACCTTTTATTCTTAATTCTTTATCTTATGTCGGAATAGATAGAAGGGAGGAAGAAAGGGGAGAAACTCCCGACAGGATTCAGGACAAATCTTTGTATTCTTATCCTCTGAAGCTCTCCTTGGAAAGAAGTTGTGAGTTCCTGCCCTGTCCTTTAAGGGGCTCCTACTCGGATGCTCTGACCAGGTTTCAGAGAGATCAGCGGGGCCCCGGGACGGGGGGGGGGTTGTCCCCCACCCCCTCATGGGTTTTCCAACAACCAGGCCCCAACAATGCTGCTCGGGAGGCAGCAAACACCAGCTGCCGCTGTCCCTGGGGGCCAATGAAAGGTCCTCATTCTGCAGCTGGGGAGAAGCGAGGAGGGGATGAGGTCAGCGGACCCGGCCGAGGGGCCCGCCTGCCTTTGTGGGGTGAGGGGTGAGGGGTGGGGGTGGGGGGCGAGGACGGTCGGCGCGTACCCTGCAGGCTCTGGTACATGCTCCAGTAGATGCGCAGGCAGTTCTTCTCCTTCTTCATACCCCGCTTGCAGCGGCAGTTGTAGAGAGACTTCTGCTTGAGGGCCTCCATGGCACTGCGGCACTCGTCCTTGGCCTCCAGGCCCGATGTCAGGCTGAAGTTGGTCTCCTTGCCGGCCACGCACTGCCTTAGCGTGCGGTACTTGGTGCTGCAGCTCTGCTCCTTCAGGCACTGATCGCTGGCTTTCACACAGTCCAGGCGGTCCCCGCCGCTCACCTCGGCCGACAGGAGCACGTCTGCGGGCGGAGGGGAAGGGAGCGTGAGGGCGGCCGGGCAGGGCCCCGAAGCCTGCGGCTCGGGCGAGGGCGCGTGCCTGACCAGGCTTCTGGGGTGCCCTGAGCAGCCAGCGGGCCCGCCCCTCTACGCCGGGGAGTCATTTTCCCCGTCCTGGGACCTCCGGCCACCGGCTCTCCCAGACTACGCCAACCTTCGCCCAGCGTGACTTTGCTGGCTATTTGCGGTTTGCCCCGGGGCGCGCGCTGCCCACCGCGCGTGTCCGCCCCGCCGCTCCCGGGTAGCCAGGTCCGAGCAGCTGCTCGGCCCCGCCCGATGGAAGCCAGGGGGCTTTCCGAAGAGGAGGGCGGCTGCCGGCTGAGCGCCGGGCGAGGGGCGGGCGAGCCCTGGTCCGCGGCCCGCCGGGCGGGGAGCGCTCAGACCCTATTCGGGGAAAAGTTTTCCCTTCGAAGTTTGCTCTCCCAGTCCAATGCTCGCCCACACCCCACCTGCCCGCTGCGCCTCCGCGAGCTCCCGGGACTCTCAAGGAGCGCTGGTCCCGGGGCTGGAGGGGCTCGGACCTCTTAACTCTCCGCCAGGATAAGCCATTAAAAAGAACAGAAAATAAAAACCAAGCACAAAAAGCTGCGGGCAAGTGCCGCGCCATCACCGCCTCCCAAGCCCAGGGTGCTGAGGATTCAAGACCCCCTTCCCCAAAACGAAACTTCGCCCACACCCAGAGCAACAGCGCTGCAATTGCGGGGCTGCCCCGAGGACCCCTCGGAAAGACTCAGCGTGTTAGAAAGCTAGCGGCGGCCTCGACTTACCCAGGAGAGGCAGCGCGAAGTACAAGGTCGCCAGGAACATGGTGCCGGCGCGCAGCTGGTCCCCGCCCCCCCAAAAATCCCGAGCCGCCGCTGGGTCTCGCCGAGGGAGCTCAGCATACAGCGATCCCCGGACGGCCGCGCTGCTCTGGCCGCCCAAAGTTCAGCTCCATCCAGTGCGAGAGGAAACTCCCGGGTCCGTCCGCCGCTACCGCCGCCGGCGACTCAGCTCCCCGCGGGCGGCTGGCGCGAGGGTGGGAGGCGGTTCCGCTTTTAGGGGTTCAGGTCTGACCCAACCTGGAAGGGAGAGCGCGCTTTGCAATGAGAGCCGAGAGCGCTAGAACCTTCCCCGCCCCTCTGCCCTCCCCTGCTCCCGCCTTGGGGGACTTTCTAGCGCCCGGGTGAGGGCCCACCCCTAACTGGGTCCCGGCGCAGGAAGGGGGCGCCGGGGTGGGGGAGGGAGATGTACGTGTATTCCGGGGAGCCGCCCGCAAGGGCAGGGTAGGGGCTGGAGAGGTCGGACGCGAGCTCCCAAAGTCCAAGGGGCGTCTATCGGGTCCAACCCAAGAGGCTGAACGCAAGCAAATAAATAACGTTACTTTCCGAGCGCTGCGAGCGGAGCCAGCAGCTGCCTGGAGTCGAAGCACACGGCGGCGGCAGCTCTTTCTCCAGCCCTGGCTCAGAAAGAGCCCCTTCTCCCTGGAAGTTCGCCGCCCCCTCCTCCAGCCAGCTCGCTCGCTCGGCTGCCGGCCCTCTTCAGCCAAACCACCAATCGCTGCCCCCGGTCGCCGTCTCCCGCTCCTCCCCGGGCTCGCCTCCTTTCTGAGGCAGCCGGGCGAGGGGGAACCGACGTCCCGGCTGGGGTCGAAACCCGGCTCGCGCGCCCCTACCCGCGGTGGGTCCTCCGCTCCCTCCCCGGTGTCCGCGCCGCGCACAGGCTCGCCCGGCGCCCGGGACTCGGGCTCATCAACGCCACCGCCTGGGGCGAGCGCACCGGCCCGCAGCCCTGGAGCGCCGGGGCAGGTGCAGCCCCTAGCCGCGCGCGCCCCGGGACCCCAAAGTTGAGGGGCGCCTGCAAGAGAGGAGAAGAGGGTGGAGGAGCGGCAATGGGCTCCCAAATCCACCGAACGAGAAAACTCTCCAAATGCCACCAACCTGGACTCAACCGACCGTGTCCAGCTGTGTCGAGGAGCCAGTTTATTTATTTATTTATTTTGGGGGGTGTCCCCGCCCCTTCGTTCCCTTTCCGGGCTCACTTCTCTGCGCTAGGAAGAAGATGCGGTAATCTTCGAGAGCTCAAAGGGGCTGAGTTGGTGGGCCAGGACGATTTCCGAGCAGAGCCCCCCCGGCTCTCGGATGCCGGTTAGGGATATCGGAAGCTGAGCGAGGCTAGCGGGTTTCGAGGCCAGATTTCTTTGCCTGAGGACCCTCGGCCTGCTCCTGCTCCTGCTCCCGCCAGCCCCCTCTGAGGCTCGCACGCACGGACGCCGCAGATGAACACACTCGTCCGCGGTGGGACTCGGCGAGGGACCCCGCACGCGCGCACAGGACACGCAGCGCTATGCAGCCGGCCGCGAGGGCTGCCTGACGCGCTCTCTCTCTCTCTCTCTCTCCCTCTCTCTCCTCCTCGCTCTCGCAGACACACACACACTCACTCAGACACAAAAGGGCACAAAGCACAAGGGCTCTTTCTTTCTTCCGTCCTATTGCAATCGAATCAGACAGACCCTTCTCCCGAACACAAAGTTTTTCCCCACGTCAGTCGCGCTATGACTCAAGACTTGGCGCGTTAAGGACACACTCAGACCCAGACCCTCGGAGCCGAGATCGCAGGATGTGCCCACGCACCGATCCACGCCAGCGCGCACGCACTCACACATGCACACGCAGTCTCTCTCTCTCTCTCCTGGAGCTTGGGCAAGGAGACAAAAGCGGAACCCCCGGCCACTGCATTTAAACCGCGCCAGACCTGGCTTTGGGAAATTTATAAGCTAACCTCCATCTTGACTGTTTCAAGAGTAAATTTTAAAATAATAATAAATTTAAACGCCCAACACATACACAGCCTTTTGCCCCAATTTCTGGGACCACTCGTTCTCGGCCATGCTGCTGACCCCCCTACCCCGTCCGGAACACATAGTCCTCTCCCCGTACACCGGGGGGCGCCCAGGGGAACGAAGCCTACACTGGGTCCTGAGAGGAGTCTATGGAACAGCGGCGGAGGGCGGTCTGGCCGCTCAGGACTTGGGTTCGGGATCTTTCCTGATATCCAAGTTCATCATTCAGGGAAACCGAGTTTAAATCGAGTCTGGGTGAGCTCAGCTGTCAAATCTGCAAAACCATTGCACCAGACAACGGGCTGCGGAGGAGAGAAAAGAAACGCTCCTCTTGATCCAGGTGGGGCTAATTGAAAAGGGCACAGGCTTTGGGTAAAGTTTGGGGCGGGGAGACAAGGAGGAGGAAAGAGGAGGGGGTGGGTAGCTCTCCATTCAGCTGCACACCAGCCAGGCGCGCCCTTGGTTGCAGCAGCCGCTCAAATGCGTGCTGCGCATTGTTTGGAGGGTGTCTGCGCCTCTTCCCGCGCCCAAAACCAAGGGACACCCCTCCGATCTGCACGCCTATGCACGTGTTCCTCAGGGTTAGGTATGAGAGGATTGACGCCCTCATGGAGCACCCTCCTCAACACGTGTGTGCACTCTCAGGGTCACACCATACACGGATTTCTTGTTCAGTGTATCAGTTTACACTTGGTTGTTGAGTAAACAAAGCAAACATATGTCACATTTTCGCGACAGATGGTTCAAACCAAGGGATACTTAGTTCTCTTTCTCTAACAGTGGTAACAGTGTAAGTTACTGAGCGGACTAAGCGGAAATGTAATTGAGTCTTCTAATCAATTTCTTCACCTTAAGTTTATTCTCATATTTTCACACACAAACCAGAGAAATCCCGGGGAGGTGGTTTTAGTAAGAGAAGGGCCCAAAGTGAATTAAGAATTTATCTGAAAACTGTGTTTCTCCATGGACACCCAAAACATAAAACCCTCTTTTGTCATCCCATTTTATAAGGGGAGGTGAATGTCTCCCTTTGGGAAATTAGTAATTAGAATTCCAGTTCTCAATGGATAGACTAGTTTCCACCATTGCTGACCACATGGGATGATTGGATGACAACGAGGTTTCATTTGAGGATATCACCCACATCTCTTGTAAGTGTTCTTTGTTTAGAAATGATTCTATGCTACCCTAATGTTCCACAGACATGGTTTAAACGAAATTTTAACGGGATGGGGGAAGGGTGGAATGAAAATTCCCCAAATGTAAAATATGAGACTTCTTTTAAAATATTTGTAGCTTCAAGAATATTTTTGAACCATTCACTCACGGCAGTCCTCATTAAGTCCTTCCTTACTGATGATGAAAACAGAGCTTTATTTTCTTTAAAAAATAAACCCCAAGCCACTGTGTGTTATCCAATACAATAGTCACTAGCCGTATGGCTATTTCAATAAAAATTAACTGAAATTAAATGAGAGAAAAATGCATTTTCCTGGTAGCACTAGCCACATTTCAAGTACTCAGTAGCTGCATGGGGCTAGTGGCTACCACATTAGACAGCACATGTAGGAGGCATCTCCATCATCACAGAAAGTTCTACTGCACAGTTGGTGTGAAATTAGTTAAGGTGACGTATATCACCTTAGATCAGTAGAATAACGCAGGCCTGAAATTAGTGCTTTATAAGGAACAGTAGTAGTAGCTGTTGTTGATGATCATGATGACTTGCTACTCTTTTGAAGAAGGTGAAGAATCCATGAAGACAAGCTCACTGCTGGTGTGTCCTCCACTCCAAATGGAGATTATCAGGCAAAGAAGCCAAAGAAAGGGGAATGGATATGTCAAAAGCTGATCTTCCAAGGAGAGCTGTGTGTAAAGGATGTGTCCCTTAGTCTACCTTAAGACTTCTTGTATAACAAGTTAACAAAAAATTACTTCTTTACACCTATATCCACTAACTTCTAAAGGTGAGACAAACGCACAGCTGGAAAGTCCTTGGAATATGGAAGCTAGAAATGCATGTGACTTACTGTATTAACATTATCTCTGTTTCCTTGGAGCTTATCTGTTCTCTTGTGTACAGGACTGATCTCAGGATGAAAGGTGACATCGAAATATCAAATATTATTAATAATGATAAAGGTTCATGTCATCCCCTGTGACATGTTTTCTCAGAGGGAAATTGGTTTTAATGCTACAAAATTAGGTTCAATCTACCCATAAGCATGTGAAATGGGCAATTTTCTTGCATTTTTTTCATGTAAGTATATTTTCATAAGTGAACAGATGAGTCATGGTGAGAATGACAGTTTTATTCCATGCAGTATTTTGTCTCCTACTCTCATTGCCTTGGCCCTATAGAGTATAATGTAAAACACATTCCTTTTGTAAAATTATACTGCTCAAAAATCACTCAAGTTTCCCTAACTCAAACTAGTCCATCAAAGTATTTGACATTAGGCAGTTTGACAGACTTACCTCTAGCTACACAAACCACTCACTATTCCTTAAATGTGCCATGTTTTTATTATTATTACTATTACTATTATTATTATTATTATTTGCTGACGCTACACCTTTGACCATGCTGTTCCATCTGCCCAATGTGTGCTTCATCCTGAAATTTTAAGTTGCAGCTCAGCTCCAACAGGCCACTAAGGATAGCAAAGACTCCCTCAGCCAGAATGACTAGTTCTCTGTAGTGTATTCCCATGGCACTGTTGGGATTTTTATTACAGCTGTGTGACACGCATTGAAGTTAATTGCTACACCTGTGTCTTGAACTGGAATGTGAGTTCCTTGAAGGCAGGAAGATACTCTATTCTCCTCCTCCTTATTTTTCTTCCTTTTTCTGCATCCCCAGCCTTTAGACTGACGACTGACACATAGTCACCTCCAATAAATGTGTATTGATTGCATGAATAATGAGTGATGTTGTTTCTCATTTTCCTCTGACACAATAATTCTACTGAAAGGTTTACATAAAATCCCTTTACTATAGGAATAATACTAAATATAAGAACTTCATGCAATTACTGGTATTGCTGTTCCAATAATAGTATCAAATATGTATTATTCCTTTGGGGATTTGACATTTACATTTTTTTAAACAAAACCCATTATTGTAATAGAATGCTCTTTTTCTGGTTCACTTTAATAGTAACATATTACATATTTCATTTCTGGGAAATGATAGCTTGCCTTAGGTCATATTTTAAGGCATAAAGCCAGAGGCAGAGTAGCGTTCCCACCTGAGGTTCTCTAATCATCTAGAAATGTGCCTCTCTCTGGGAGAGAAGGATTTAGAAGGGCCAGATTACAATTAATCGGCCTGGAGCCTTCATCCTCGAAGGCAAATTTTAAAAAGCCAAATCGCCCCCAAAGTGTTTAAAATGCTTTTATAGACACACAAGACCTTGTGCAATCCTTTAGGAAAATGAGAAAATAGTAATCATACAAACTTGGAAGGCTGGCGTAAGGGTCTGCATGCTGACACGGATCTCACCTTCTAATACTTCAACATTTGCCCTTTGGCGGTGCAGGAAGAGCCAAGTGCTCTCAGATTTCAGAGACCTCTTCCAGGCTGACTATATTAAGATGTGTCCTTTGAACATTATTTGCA